CTTACAGTTTGAGATTTCTGTCAGAATAAGTGGCCAACAGCCTGGGAAGGGCAGGCATCAAGTCGTGCCAGGCTGACTGGGCATAAGGCTTTTGGAAAGTTCTATGCTAAGGACATCCCCCAGGAACAGCAGGAGAGGAGCTCTTACTTTCCTACTGCCTGGAGTCCTTCTGAGTGTCTGGATTATGGGAAACACAAATGCCCCTTGCTTAAGATCCCAGCAACACGGCAGTTTTGCCCTCGCTTTGCCCACGTGTACTTTTGGAGCCCCTAAAGAGACACGTTAGAAGAAAGCTCACATATACTACAGCGTGACGGTGTCCTTTTCAGAACAGGAAATGGACATGAGGGTATAATGACATGAGGCTCCAGAACAGGGTCTGGCACATAGATGCTCAGTAACATTTGGTGGAGGTGGAATTACAAGTAATTTGACTCCTTCCTCCCTCCCCCCGCCCCCAAAAAAAAGAGCAAGTGAGAGAGGCCTGCATTCTGACCTAGCCACTGCCTCCTCAGCCTGCCCCAAAAGGCCCCGCTGGGTCCTGCTGGACCTTCTGCCACGTCATGGCTCCCCCCACCCACAGTTGTGTGGACCACACAACCCCTCGCTGTTCCTCAACTCCCCCCAGAAGCTCCCCTCCAGGCCTCTGCCTGGCTCCCCCTACAGCCTGGGATGCCCACACACCCTTCATCTCTTCTGGTCGACTCCTTCTGGTCACACAGGTCTCAGTTCAAATGTCACCTCCTATGAAAGCCATCCCTGATTCCTTATTTGGAGTTGCCCTCTAGCTCTGCCCACGCCATTCCTGCACTTTGTCTTATTCAGAGCACGGAGCACCACGTGGCATTGTCCTGTTAACCCCTTTGTCATCTGTCCCCCAGTGGAACCCAGGCCTCAAGGGCAGGTGCTCTGACCCGGTCTCCCCTGCACTCTGCCTCCAGAGCAGTGCTGACGTGTGAGTACTGTGAGCACAGGGACTCCTTTGCAGCCAGTAAAGAGAATAAGGCACATCCAGAGGTTCCAAGGTGGAGAGACGACTTCAGTATGTTGCCATGTGGGAAACAAGCCATTTCCGTTAGAAAATATAAATATGTTTGTGTATATACTACTTGTGTGTGGGCATATCCATAATTTCACCACTCCCATTAAAAGACACTTGGCTTCATTCTGTGTTTTGGCCGTAGAAACAGCGTTGGGATAGTCCCAAGTAGGGCACACAGAGGTTGATCTCTTATTCTTGCCCACCTCCGTTTAGCTGTTGCCTTTCCATTTTTTGCCAGTAGGTGGTGCTGCAGCCACATACATTTACCTAGGGATGAAAGATTGGGCTTTCCTGTACATTGTTTTAGCGACAGAGGTGGCAGATGGTGAGTGTGTGTGTGTAGAGGGGAACAACCAAACCAGTTGCCATTGAGTTGACCTTGACTCATGGCGACCTCATATGTGTCAGAGTAAAACTGTGCTTCATAGGGTTTTCAATGGCTCATTTTTCAGAAGTGGATCACCAGGCCTTTCTTCCAAGGCAGCTCTGGGTGGATGCAAACCTCTAACCTTACGGTTAGCAACCTGGCGCGTTAACTTTGCACCACCCTGGAACTCCAGGTTGGGAGGGACAAACCCATGCAAATCAGTTGTATGGGGGACAGGCATATGCTGCCCTGCCAACTGAACTCTAGGATGCTCTCCAGTCCCCCCAGTTTCCTTTCCGGTTGCCTTGCTGAGTCCTGTCTCTAGAACATTGATACAGCAGAAACTGTCACAGTATCCCCTGACCCTGTGTTCATAAGTATCACCTGGGAGCTTGTTAAGACCCAGGTTCCTGGGCCCTGTCTCCAAAGAGGTTCTGTGAGCCTGGAGTGGGCCAAGGAAATTGCATGTTTGACATGTACCCAGATGAGTCCTCACGCAGGTGGGAGAGCTGCATGCTGACGACCCAGCTGGCAGCAGGCAGCTGTGGAAGAAACACAGACCCACCAGGCCTTGAATTGACCATCACCTGTCAGCTGTGTGACATCAGACAACATGCGTGTTATCTCCAAACCTTGGTTTCCCTTTTGTGTAAAGGGGTCTTGTGAGAACTACATGGGGAAGTGAATGTCAGAGCTGGCCCAGGCCTATAAGCAGGCTCTCAAAGTGACCATCCCCTTCTCTCACTCCTCTCTGCTCCCCCAGGCCAGGGGCAGCCAGAGTGCCTCAGCCCCATGCTGCTCAGCCTCATAAAAAGGGTGGTTGGTTTCTCGTAGAAAAACAAATGCGATGTACTCATTTGGAAAAAGGAAGATCACCGTCCCACTGCTCAAACACAAGGCCATTTTTTGCTCTTTGTGTGTGTGTGTGTCTAATTTGCAAAGATGAAAACTAAGTTGCCTCTTAGTGCTGGTGAGATTGCCTTGATGTGGCCCTCCTGTAAGGCACCAGATGACATATAAACCACTACTGTCCTTTCTGAAAGTACCTTGGTAACATATATCAAAACATTTGTCCCTTTAACCCCAGAAGTAATCCCAAATACAGAAAACGATTTAAGTAAAAGGACGTCCATCACAGGATTATTTATAATAGGAAGCAACTGGGGATGACTCAAATCACTAACAGAAGAATATTCTATTCTATATGGCCATTAACAGTGTTTTTGCAATGGAGTACCGTGAAAAAAAAAATCATAGAAAGTGTTCATGAAGAAGATATTGTATGGTTGTTGTTGTTCTGTGGTGTCCAGTTGATTCAGGCTCATAGTGACTCTACAGGACAGAGTAGAACTGCCCCACAGGGTTTCCTAGGCGGTAATCATTATGGGAGCAGATCGCCAGGTCTTCTCTCCTGCAGAGTGGCTGGTGGGTTTGAACTGCAGCCGACCTTTTGGTTAGCAGCCAAGCACTTAAACTTTGTACCACCAGGGCTCCTTACATTTATATGGAAACAACCTAAATATCCATTAACAGATGAATAGATAAACAAAATTGGTACCTACATACAATGGAATATTACTCAGCCATAAATGAAGTCCTGATACATGCTATGACATGAAGGAACCTTGCAAAAATTATACTGCTTGAAATAAGTCAATCACAAAAGGACAAATACTATTTTATTCCACTTATGTGAAATAGACAAATATATAGAGATCAAAGCTTATTAGTAGTTATCAGAGATGGGAGAGAGGGGGAGTCATTGCTTAGGAGGCACTGAGTTTCTGTCAATGGTAGTGGAACAATTTGGAAAAAGATAATTATGATGGTTGTACAACATGATGAACTTAACCAAAGTCACTGAATTATACATGTAAAAATTGTTGAATTAGCAAATGTTTTGTCATCTATATTTTTACCACAATAAAAATATTGATTATTAAAAAAAAAGAAGACTTCAGAAGTCCTTCATGTACTAACAGAGAATGAGCTTCAAAAGAGATGGTTAAGAGAGAAAAGCAAGGTGCGCAGCTGTCTCTGCAGTATCCATTATCTGGATAGCCCCTAGACGGCCGTGTTCACGTGGTTGGTAGACACTGTTTTTTTTTTTTTTAAATTGTGTTTTAGGTGAAAGTTTACAGCGCAAATTAGTTTTTCGTTAAAAAATTTTATACACAAATTGTTTTGTGACGTTGGTTATAATCCTCACAATGCGTCAGCACTCTCCCCCTCTTTTCCTTTCCACCCTGGGTTCTCCGTGGCCATTCGTCCAGTTTTCCTGTCCCTTCCTGCCTTCTCGTCTTTGCTTTTGGGCAGGTGCCGTCCATTTGGTTGGTTGTAGACTGTCTGATCAGACACACAGGGAACGGGCAACGCTGGTCACCCAGGGAGGTCCTGGGTGGCCCAGGGCCTAGGGACGAGAAGCAGACCCGGCCCCTCATACCCTTTGTTCTTTTTGAATTTTGAATCATAAGAGTCAATTACCTATTTGAAGGATAAAGAGAGTTTAAACTAAAAACAAAACAGTGACTGCCAGGAGAATGTTAGAACCCAGGCAGGTGCTTTTTCCTCATGAGGAGCGGAGAAAGCAGAATGTGAAAGTTTATATTTAGGTTTTGCCCAACTATATAAGACTAAATCTGTGGAACAAGGAGCCAGGCGCACAAACCAACGAACCAACACAATGATATTCTTAGGGGAAGAGCCTAGAAAGAAATCTCCCAAAATAGCAACGGTGGTTATCTTTAGATGAGGGGAGTGACTTTCTCTCCTCTTTCTATTTTTTTATATTTCCCAGATTTTCTATAACGAGTATGTACTTTTTTTTTTACTTTTTATTATGCGAGTGTTTTACCCCACGCGTCTGTCACTTTGTCATACTGTGGTGCAATACACATTTATTGGAGAAAAATCAGAGAAAAGAAATAAAAATCACCCATAACCTCACCACTCAGAATCACCATTACCAATTGATTCTGTATGTCCCCTTCTGTTTTTGTGTTTAAGTGAATGTTGTTGTTGTTGGGTGCTGTCATGTCGATTCCGACTCATAGCAACCCTATAGGACAAAGTACAACTGTCACTTAGGGTTTCCTAGGCTATAATCTTTATGGGAGCAGATCACCAGGTCTATTCTCCCGTGGAGCCACTGAGTGGATTCAAACTGCTGACCTTTTAGTTAGCAGCCGAGCACTTAACTATTGTGCCACCAAGTCTCCTTTTAAATGTACAGAGTTAATGAATTGCATTGTTTTCACAGTGGAAAAAAAATAAAGGCAGTTTACAAGGAATATCAACAGGGTGGGGGACAACTGGCTTCAAGTCTCCCTGGGCTGGGCTTGGCTGGGTTGGGCTGGGCTGAGCTGGGCTGGGTTGGGCTGAGCTGGCCTGGGTTGGGCCTAGTCTGGACTGGACTGAGTTGGCCTGGGCTGGGCTGGGCTGGGCTCAAATGGGCTGGGCTGGGCTGGACTGTGTTCAGCTGAGCTGGGCTGTGTTCAGCTGGGCTGAGCCAGCTAGGGCTGGGCTGGACTGGGCTGGGCTGAGCTGAGCTAGGCTGGCTCAGGATGACCCTTCTGTCTTTGGCGTTCGCAGGAGCGCTGCGTGGCTGCCCTGGCCCGGGTCGAGCGCACCGACTTCCTGTCGCCCATGTGCATTGGTGAGGTGGCTCACGTCAGCGCTGAGATTACCTACACCTCCAAGCACTCTGTGGAAGTCCAGGTCAACGTGATGTCTGAAAACATCCTCACAGGTAACTTCCGGATGCTTCTCACCCAGGGAACTTGGCTGGGAATAACAGTGACAACAGCAGTGATAGTAAGGGCAGCAGCAGCAGTTAACACTTACTAAGTGCTTACTCTGTCCGAGGGGTTGGCCCACTCACTTTACATGGGTCACCTCCTGGCATTCCCACCACCAGCTGGCAGCAGGTACTCCTAATCATCTCACTTTAGCCTCACTTTGCAGACGAGGAAACGGGCTCAGACAGGTAAGCCAAGTGCCCAGGATCACACACACAGCAACTGGCAGAGCGGTTCAGACCCTGCTGTCTGGCCCCAGCCCTGAATGTGTATCCTCTGCCCAGTGGCCAGATCAGTCCTAGGCAGGGGTGGGACCGGCCCCCTGCCATCTCCCCTGCCCTGGTGGCCTTTTCTGTGCATGGTGGGGGCCTTGGCACCGTAAAAGATGCTGCCCAGCTCCTGGAGGGCCTGTTCTGGGCCCTGCCCACTCCCCTGGCCCTGTAACCCAGGCTTAGATGGAAGTTCACTGGCAAACCTTTGACTCTGGTTTGATCTGAATATTCCCTTCCCTGGTCGTGGTAACCATGGAAACTCCTTTTCATCTTCCCACTCGACACCAGGCGAGTGTGGCGCGCACTAACACGCACCCGCACACCCTTCTTTTTATAACCGCGCTTGTAATGAGGGAGGCAGCCTCTTCCTTTGTCCCCGCACTCCCTACAGAGCCCCGTCCCCTGGTCCCAGGCCATCCCGTAGCCCAGGTGCAGAGGAAGGTGTTACCTGTCTTTTGTCTTCTCTTTCTGACCCCACTCCTGGCAGATGGCTGCCCTACCCATTGCTGTGCTCAGAACTGGGTGGGGGTGGGCACCTGTTTCCCCTATGGGGTGGGCCGGGGGCATGTGTCTCCTGAACCACCTTGCGGACCTCGGCAATGTGGCCCAATGACAGCACAGATCAGTTGAGCCAAGCAAGGCCTAGAGTGTGAGGGGGGAGGTTCGGTGTGCCTGTCTCTGCCCTTTGGGACCTGGTATGCAACACCGTCATCAGCAGACCCTTGGGTCCTGGTCTCTGGCTGTGGCACAGACAGAGGTGCCGGCACACTTCGTTCTGCAATGGGGACGGTGGCTGCTACTGGGATCAGGCTCAGTGCAGGGGTGGGTACCCCCAGAGATGCCTTGGGGGCCCCATCTACTCTCCCGACCTGCAGTTTGCCCCACCCCTGGGTGGGCAGAGCCGGGGGATGGAGTGTTGATCCTGTCCTGACAGAAAGGGGTGTCCGCTGCTCTCTCCTGCCTGTTTCTAGCTCATCTGTAGAGGTGATGCCGGCAGCACTGCTCCTTCACTGTAACTTTTCCAGAGTCGGGGCCAGTGACAGTCCTTGTCACTAAAGTCCCCTTCTGGCATTGCAGGAGCTATAGCCTGAGAGGAAACTCTAAAACAGAAACACGGTTGGAGAGGCAGCAGGGGGACAAAAAGGCGTTCCTGGGCTCTGTGTCCTGGCTGGAGGGGCTCATTGAGGGTACCACATGTCTCTGTCTTGCTCTCTGCCGTCCTTTTTCTGTCTCTCTCTCCATGTTTGAATTTGTGTGAGTCTCTCTCTGCTATTCTGACCCTGGGTCTCTAGGTCTTTCTGTCTGTCTTTATGTGTCCACTAGAATATGAGCCCAACAAGGACAGGGGTCTGAGGCTGTTTTGTCAACTGTAGTACCCTCAACCCCAAGAACAGTACCTGGTGCACAGCGGCCCCCATAAATACTGGCCGAATGGATGAGTGGACTCTGATAGACGAGGAGACCGAGGGTCCAGGTGGCCCAGTTACACACCCAGGGTCACTAGCCTGGACATGGCTGAATCACAAAGTTGTTTGTGTGATGTCTCTGGGTTCTTGTTCCTCCCCAGGAGGCAGGGGTACCCAGTTCTGTGTATGCCCCTCGATCTGGGTGGTGTTGCCCGTCAAGAGGACGCCCAGTGAGCAAGCAAGCCATGCTCTGGCAGACAATCCACAAACCTTTGCCTCTGCATCAGCTCATTCATTTCCAGCAACTGTCAAAATATTAAGCTAACTAGGTTGTGATTGCTGCGAATTGCTTCAGAAAATAGCTGGTAGCTTTTAAGATTTTAAAATAGATGTTTTTACTGCTGCAGTTGTCTTTTGATGGCTTTATTAAATGATTGAGAAAGTACAATTAGCATGTTTTGCCTCATTTGCTCAGTGTTGTTCATTTAGGTCTAGAAGAGGGCCACTCTGGGTTTCCATGGAAACCAGCTTGTCAGGCTGGCTCTGGCTGAGGCAAACAGGAAATCTTTATTCCCAAAAGCATCTTGTCAGATCCACTCGCAGTCAAAGTACAGTGAAAATATTTCCCGTATTATTTGCCTGTCAGTCCAAAGCTCGGAGAACCCGTCAGCCTGACAGTGCAGCTGTGTCCAGGGTGGCCGTTTGTGTTCAGAGCAGTGCAGCGGTCCCCATGGGCCTCCTCGTCCCGGCTGCTGCTTCTTAATAGGCTCTCTGGGAATTTACTTGGTGCTTGGGGCTATGTTTAGGAGGAAACCAGCACCAAAGCCCTGGGTTCATCTTGGGAGGCAAGTCAGAGGGAGCTGGTGGACGTGAGCTCCTGGAGTGGGGGAAGTGGGGCTTTAAGGAGGTGCCAGGGCTGCATGCGCCCTCCCACTCCCTCCCGTGTTATCTCCAGCAGTCTGCCTGCCCCACTGTACACTGGGATCTTCCATGTTAAACAAGCTACTTTTTAAAGGCACCCTTGCAAACGCTTCCCTGAAATTGTGAGGGGGGCAGGGTCTGTGTTCAGGATGGCATCAAGTTGCTGTGTGGCCCTCGGCAGACCCTTTGGCCTCTCTGGGCTGGGTTCAAGTGTGCAGCCCACAGCCTGTCTCTCGGCACACAGAAGCTTTGGGATTGGAACTCTGAGTAGGCCAGCAGCAAATCCAAGCGCCTGGTGTGCTGCTTCCCATGTTGAAGGAGATGAGGTTGAGGAAGTTCCTGAGGTGGCAAAACGGGGCCTTGATGAGCTGGGCGCCACAGCTTTGTGCCGTGGCCAGAGCCTCTTCCTGTGGGTGGAGAGCAGGGACACAGACGGCTGTGCGGGCTGGGTTCCGGGTTCTGGGCTCTTCGGTCTGGAGAGGGTTCCTTTCGGTGGGGTTTAGGCGGGTGGGCGGGGCCTGTCAGAACCTTCCTTGTCTGAGCAGTGACATCCAGCTCCTCAGCAGGCGTTCCTGAGTTTGAAATTAAACATCAGCTGTGCTGTACTTGGTGGGTGGAGAGGTGGGTGGAGACTGAGCCAGCAACTTCAGCCTGTATTCTGGCTCTTCTGGGGGCGGGGCAGGAGGGGAGGTCACACAGCAAGGGAGATCTGTCCACAGACTAGTGGGTGCCTCTGTCTGGGAGGCGCCTCTCGGGGTTCTGAGGAGTTTGTATAGCCAAGCCCTCCTCCTGTCAAAGAGTTCCTGGCTGCTGCAAACAGTTAACATGCTCAGCAGCTAATCGAAAGGTAGAGGTTCCAGTCCATCTAGAGTGTACCTCGGAAGAAAGGTCTGGTAATCTATTTCTGAAAAATCAGCCACTGAAAACCCGATGTAGCACAGGTCTACTCTGGTCACCATGAGTTGGGGTTGACTCAATGGCAACTCATCCTCCTGTCAAAACAGCACCAAGGCGAGGCTGCCTGGTCAGTGCACACAGGTGTGAACCTTCCACATTAGAAGGCTGACAAGCCTGGGACTGCCCAGGCCAGAACCGCGGGGTCTCAAGTCTTCCCACCCAGCCCTGGGAGGGCATGGGCCCTGGGCTCGGGCAACCAAGTATGGATGGGTAGGGCCCATGTAGCCTCTTCCTATGGCTTGTGGTTCTTAAGGTCTATGTTCACACTTGCCTGCCTTGGGAGCCGGAGGCCAGGAGAGGCGGTGGGAGGGGTGGGGGAGCCTGCCTACAGTAACCAGTGGGGATGAAATGATATTTCAGTTGCTGGGATGGGCAGTGCTGGGTGGTAGCACCTCCCCCCCAGGGCCATCTCTCATGTGCTTTTCTTCTCTTAAGGTACCAAAAAACTAACCAACAAGGCCACCCTGTGGTACGTGCCCCTGTCACTGAAGAATGTAGACAAGGTCCTCGAGGTGCCCCCTTTCGTGGTAAGGCGACCCCTTTCCCTTCTCTCCTGATGGCTTTGGCAGGCTCTCTTAGCTCAGGGGTGGTCCGGCGGGGCTAACGTAGCCCTCAGAGCGAGGTGGGGGCCAGCCGCCGGCAGGAAGGGGCCCTGGGGGCCCAGGAAGGCGGGGGGTGGGGGTTGTGTCAGTTTTGAATGTCTAGAATATTTTAGTGCGTGTTAAATTCATGCTGGGAATGCAAGGGTGGGCCAGCTTAGAACCCTGGATGTCACCCACAAGGAAAGGCCAGGAATGGGTGGGGTTGAGGGACACTTCCTTCTGCCGATGGCCAGGACTGCCAGGCCCTTGCCCAGGCCAGCTTCTCCCCCACGGCCCTTATGAGCTGGCTGTTACCTTGGCTCCTGGTGAAATGTGTTCAGTCCCTTATTCTCTCTTTCTCCTGCCCCACTGCTGGCACCTGCCTGCTCCTTGGGTTTCTCTCATCTTGGCATTGCTGGGGACAGAGGGTCTTTACATGGAAAGAGTTACTCATGTCCCTGCACCCTAAGACTTGGTCCCTTCTGTGGGTCTGCCATGGGCAGGCTTGCAGAAGCCTCGGTGCGCTTTTGGATGGCAAACGTTTGCCGATAAAGCACTTTAAGTCACTCCCTGAAATCAACCCCTCACCTCCTTTTCCTGAAGCTGACTGTCCGCTAGATGTTCTAAGGAGCGTCAAGGGTGAGTCGCTCCCCCCATGCCTCCTCCTCCCACCAGCTCGCCCGCTGTGAAAGAGCAGACCTGCTACACACCTTCCACCTTTGAGGAAGAAAGCACTTCACAGAGGAAAGCAGAGCCTCGAGGTGCCACAGGGTCCACCCCAGAAGGGGGGCTTCTCCTGCGCTTGAGATCTATATGGAACTCATTTTTAGAAATCATAGAGCTGAGAACCAGATTATCAGGGTTTACGGGGCTGCTCGGGGCTACTCTGTCCGCTTACAGACCTAATGGGGAAATCAGCACTTCTGATTCCGACTTCCTGCGTCCCACCCTCCCTCCTCACAGAGGGTTGGACAGGTACAAGGCCCTTCTCCTGGCCTGGCTCCCAGCCTTCTGTCTTTGGGACCTTTTCAGGAGCCCTGGGCCACACGGAGCCAGTGGGGACTTGCTCCCTGCTGCCGTCTCAGAGGTAGACTGCGGGGGCGGGGGCACTTCCTGAGGCCGGCCTCCTGCCATCTCTTCCTGTTTCTGGCTCCACGTCCACCTGGGCGCCCTGTCACGGCCCCAGGCACAGTCACGGCTGGTGGTTTGCTCTAGATTTTCTTTTTGATCTTGGTGATAGGGAAGCCCACTTCATATTTATAGGGAAGGGTGGTGCTTCCTTGGACTGTTGATCCAGTTGTGGTATTCTTGGGTACTGCAAGGTTGGGGTGGCAGCACCACCAGCATTTGGTTAGCATCAGTGGGATCTGCCATTCCACGTGGAGCAGAGCAGCCAACCCCTGAGCCAGGGTTGGCTCACAGCAAGTGTGGTCGGATGGTTCATACATGTCCGCCCTCAGCCCAGCCCTGCCTCCCCCACACACACACACACACTCACACACACCCACATGCTCCCACTCATGTTCATATACACTCACATTTACGCAGTCTCTTACATACTCACACACATATGCACACTCACACACTCACTGATACACACATTCACACACTCACTCTCATACACTCACACATACTCTCATACTCACACACACTCACTCTCATACACACTCACACACACTGACTCTCACGCTCACACTCACAAATACTGCTCATTCCATCTGGGGCTTCACTCCCCCTTCCCTGCTGCCCGCCTGAGATGGAAGCCCCCCTCATTTTCACGCAGTGCTACCTGGAGGTTTCTGAGACCCAAGAATCAGGGGTAAGTCCGAGGCACAATGACTGTTCTCTTTAGAAATGACAAGCGTACCTGCCACACTGTCGTCTTTCCCACTAACCCCTTCGTGTTAAAGTAGCTGCATCACACATACACACTCAAACACAGTTATTTAACTGATATAATTTTAAAATGCTACACAATTCAGAAATCTCCACCAGACCACATCTCTGGCTTCAGCATCGCATAATACATTGTAAGGGGCAATAGTGAAGGATGATTCTGGGATTGAACCCATTAACTTTTGCCGCTTTTTTGCCCCTCAGGGCTGATGTGCTCAGAGCTGTCGGGTCTGTAGCTAGTGGGGGCAGAGGGGCTCCAGACCCCGGGGTAGTGTTCTGAAGTGCTCAGCTCTGACACTCTCTTCCCTGCGCCCCTCGCCCAGTCATTGGTGCACTCCCTCCTACATCATGGGGGAGCACCCAGTTGCTTTTCCATCCCTTTGTTGAGCTGGGTTTGATACGACATAACTATCAATTTTGCCCTTTGTAGGGGAGGGTGTTGAAACCGTTCCACTGAGCCGCAGCAGAGAAAGCTCCAGATGGGGGAAGCCACACAACTCCCAGCTCCAGCTGCTGCTAATATTTATTTGTGCTTCTGCCCCTACACACGCCAGGCCCACATATAAGCCTTGAGTTGCATTTGAAATGTAGGTCTGCTGCTCCCACTGGCAGGGGCTGGCCAGAGTCTTGACCGGGCGACCCTGGGAAGCTCAGCTGCTCTCTCTGGCTCTAATCCTCATTTGTGCTCACCTGCTGGTGGTCAGGCACGAGGCTTCTTGTATCTTCCAGCATCCTGCCGTCAGCCTCTTTGTAGATGGCTGTCATTTATTTAAGAAAGCATCTCTCTCTATGTATGTAGATATGTATGTAGAGATATATATAGTTATATGCACCCCCATATATAGATATCTCACACACACATATATAACAAACATACATATAGATGTCTCTTACAGACATATATGGATATCTCACACACATGCATAGATAGCTCATGCAGACACACATATCTCTCTCATACACACATATATAGATATCATCATACCTGTGGATAATCATGCACACACATAAATATCTCATATACACACATATACAGATAGTTCTCACTGGTATATAGGTATCTCACACACAGAGATATTTCATACACATATTATCACACACAAGAATGGACAGATATCTCACACACACATACGTAAGTATTTCACATATACATATATGTATCACATAGATGATAGACAGCTAGCCCACACAGACACACATATATCTCTCTCATACATATATCTCACACACGTATAGGTATTTCATACACATGTATCACACACATATAGATGGATAGATAAATAGATATCTCACACATTGCCACACGCATACATGTAAATTTAAATTTACTGGAGCTATGTATCTCTTTCTCTCCCAGGAAGAAGCCCAGCTGCTGACTGTGTGCATGTTATTTAGCACAGGACTTTGTCACTTTGCTCTACCTTCCTCCTAGCAGGGAATTCTTTCACAATGACTAGGGAACCTCAGTGGCCCTGTGATGGGAAAAGAGGCCAGTGTGTTGGCTGGAGGGGCAGCTGCAGCCCTGGAAAGACTGGCCTGGTCCTTGGAGAGCAGACACTTGGGTTTCTATGAAATAGCTGAGTGTGTGCCTAAGTAGAGAAGTTTGCACAGACTGTTGTCTGAGACGTTTGGGAAGAACTGTCGTCTGCGTCAGACCAAGTGGGTTTAATGAGACCTTGAGGGTAGGAGGGGGTGCCAACCCTGCCAGTAAAGTGCTTGTTTTGGTGGTTTGGTTCCTAGATTAAAGCCAGCAGGAAGCAAGCTCTTGGGAGGAGGCTGCATTTTCTGTGTCCTTGTGGCTGGTGTCCAGGGCTGGGGCCTCCAATGGCCTTCTCATGTGTTGGTAGAGAGCCTGGCACAATGAGGATTTATTGGGCTGGGGAGCTGAGCGCTTTTTTTAAAAATCGCTTTAAAGGCATTTCTTGAGGACTCTTAAGTTCAGCCATCAATTTTGCTGGATAGACATAGCACAACTCTGCTCTTACTGTCATTGCTGTGGATGGTGGAACAATGGGAAGCAGTTTATTTATGGAAGAAGAGGCTAAATTATCCACTGCAGCTTAAAACACTCACTACAGTTTGTTTCTTTTGAACAAACCTCTCAGCTCCTTCCTCCGTCTCTTTTGAAGGCAGGCTGTCCAGCCCACTCTCATGAGTAATTAAACCAGACCTGCGCAACTTGGAAATTGAGCCACAAGCAGGGAAATCAAGACGTTTAAAACTAGCTTTTGAAAGAAGGTTTAGAATTGCTGCTAAAATGAATGTTCTTGAGTCAGGGGGCTTCTGTGGGGACAGTGAGGAGTCGCCAGGAGCCGGGGTGGGGGGACCTGAATTCCATGGCCTCCAGCAGGCTCAGTGGGAGGTGCTGAAAGAGCAGAAGTAGAGGCTAATCAGAAGGAGGCTGCATAGTGGTCAGCAGCGAGGGCTTGGTGGTGGGGAACAGAGCTGCTCTAGGGCATGAGGGTGAAGGCCCCGAGGGAAAGTGGGCGGGGGGTGGGTAGTAGTGGTCCTGGACCAGCACACAGGGACCAGGCCCCCAGGGAGGGCGTGCAGGGCAGAGCCTGGCATGTTCCCCAACTGGGCTGGGGATGGCAGCACGGGAGGGCAATAAAGAGCTGTTCTTCTGCTTCATCAGAGAAACCCAACATCCCCTTTCTGCCAGAAGGACCCGGGAACCTCGGTTCTGTGCTAAGTTCTATATTATTATTTTTAACTTCTTGGGTCAAACCCCTGCGATCCATTAGGGGAGCTTCTGAAGGGCTGCATTAGCCATTGACGTGCGCTCCCTTCACAAACGCAACCTGTGGACTGACTGAGGGTCCCAGCCAGGCTACCCTGTTTTGGGGGCGCAGGAGTGCGGCCTTCCCCGGGGCTCCTTGGTCCAGCAGTTGTACATCCAGGAATGCATCCTAGGTGCAAAATGATGTGTGGCCGAGGATTTTCAGTATGATACTGTAAATTTTAATAGTGAAGAAATGGAAATAGGCTAAATGCCTATATGTACAATGGATTGGTCAGATAAATTATATTGCAGTGATACAGTGAAACAGCGAAATACCATTATTTTTAAACTTCACATGGAGCATGCTGGAACTTTTTATTCAGTCAATTCTCATCATTGAGGCTCATTTGTAGATTGCGTATTTGCAAACTCGCCTATTTGCTAAAAATACTTGCTGTGTTTTCACGGTCTTTTGCAGACATGCACGTGCACAAGAGTGAGAGGAAAAATCCCAGCTGAGGTCAGGCAAGGCTGGTCTGGTCTTCACTAATCCACTGTTCCCGGGGCCTTTACAGAGCTCAACTACTAACCTAAACGTTGGTGGTTTGAACCCACCCAGCGGCACTGCAATCTGCTTCTGTAAAAGATTAAAGAAAACCTTATGGAGCAGTTCTAATCTGTAACACATGGGGTCACCATGAGTCAGAATCCACTCTGTGGCAATGGGTTTTTATTTTTATTTTTTTATACTACCTTGAATAATGAGAATCGACTGTATACATAAGCATAAAAATAATTCCAGGAAGGATACAAACCAAACATTTGACTCAGGTTATCTCTGGGAGATGGGACTGCATGAGATTTCCCCCTTCTCTGTATTTTTATTATTTATATTAATTATATATGATTGGAAAAAGAGAAGGTATTTCCAGTTACACAAAGGTAGACAACGCAAGGAGCCCGCAGCCTGGGTGGCGGCTTTGCCTGGCAAGGGCAGGAAGGCCACCCACTCCTGTGGGCCTGATGATCTGTCCTGTGGTCTCCGCAGTACTCCCGCCAGGAGCAGGAGGAGGAGGGCCGGAAGCGGTATGAAGCCCAGAAGCTGGAGCGCATGGAGACCAAGTGGAGGAACGGGGACATTGTCCAGCCTGTCCTCAACCCAGGTAGGTGGGGCGGGGGTGCTGACCTCTGTTGGCAGGTGTGCTCCTGGCCATTTACCCGCAAAGACTGTGAGTGCGTGGGCTCAGCCTCTCCTCCTTGTGGGCCAGCGCCCTCCCTGGGAGCTGAGAGCTCTCCTGGAACCAGGTTCTCTGAGTTCATCAGGGAAGGCTGCCCCCATGCTCTGCCCTGAGACATATAAACCCCTTCCCGATATTGCAGCCCAGAGGGTGGCGTAAGTGGGAGTCCCTGGGGCCTCGGCGTACTATCGAGCTGTCAGTTGAACAGGAGGGAGCTGTGCATGTAGGGACTTTTATCACCTCTGCGGAGAGAAGAATGTCTTGTGTGCTGAGAAGTTCTTCTTGACCTATCTTTCCCCAAGTATTCTCAAGAACTTGTTTTTGATAGCGTCTCCAGCTCATCCCAAAAACACAAAAATTACAAAATGGCAGTGGGTTTTAAATGTTGCCTTCCTCACCGGCTCACTCCTGAGGCCTTTGGTTCGGTAAATAGACCCTGATCTAATCACTGACTCGATGTGGGGGTGAGAGAGCACTCGAGTATGTGTGGGTTTCCCTCTTAAGGTTCGTTTCTGCCATTATTTCATCCTTTGCCTGCAAGCCCACAGTGGTCCGGCTTTAACAAAATGTCCACCCAAAATGCAAACAAAGAGATTAAGGGATGTTTTCCATCAAGAAAGGGTGTTCCTCATAAACATCCTTAATGGGGAACTCCCCTGGTGTGCAGAAACAGTTCAGGCCAGGGGTCTTGGGGGTCCTCTGGGGGCACATCCCAAGGGCTGGGAACACGGTGGGCCCTTGGGGAGATGGAATGTTCTTGACAGGTGGGTCTTCCTGGTGTTCCGTCCACAAAGTTATCACATTTTAATAATGTTGAGAGGCACTTTCTAAAAGGTAGTATATGCTCGTGAAGAGTGTGCTTCTTAGATCAAGTAGATACATGAGACTAAATGGGCAACTTCTGTCCAGAAGTGAGATGGGACGGCAGAGAGGGTAGGAGCTGGTTGAATGGATATGGGAAATCAGGGGTGGAAAGGAGGAGTGTGCTGTCACAGAATAGGGAGAGCAATTAGGTTCACTTAACAATGTATGTATAAATTTTTGTATGAGAGACTAACTTGAACTGTAAACTTTCACTTAAACTACAAAAATAAACAAAAAAGAATAGCTAAAAGGTAGTATCTGGTGAGGGAGGCGGGGTTTAGTCTTCAGCTTCCTCAGGGCCAGGGCCACACATGGTACCTCGGGAACTGTTGGTGGAATTGGTGCAAAGCTGAGTGAGCCCCAGGAGGAGAGGTCGCCCCCCCCCCGCATCCCAGAGACTCAGGGGAGCTGGGTGAGCGGGCTGGGGCAGCCTGGGTGTGGTGAGTGCCTCTGGCCCTGCCTGTGCTGTGACCAGCATGGGAAGCAGGGAGAGGAAGGGGGCACCATGGCTGGGGCTGGCTAGAGATGGGTACTTGGAAGGAACTGGAGCAGGGCTGGCCACAGAACTGTGGGGGCGAGAGGATCACCAAGGCGAAGGCACTTAACAGTGTCCAGCCCAACAGCAGGCAAAGAGGGGAGTGAGGAGAGGAGAGGGGTGGCATCTAGCGGGCTGCTTGGACCCTCCTTTCAGTGGGCACTTTCTGGTGAATGATAGAAATGAAAGCCAGGCCCCGAGGAGATGCCAAGAGGCACGAAGGCCCAAGTGGGCAGGGCCGCTGGACATGTCTCTGGCTTTGAGACCCATGAGATTAGATCCTGGTTTATCCATTGACTGACCATTTGGGGAAAGTAAAATTACTCAGGGCTCGTGAGATTTTTTTTCTATTTGCCCTCATCTGTTTAATTATCAATCTCATACATAATTTTTTTTCAGAATCTATTATTCTCCAACAATAGTAACCAAAGGTGGCATTTCGAATCTGAAGATTTTTTTGATAGATTTTACATTTTCCTTTTTGCTTTTCTATGTTCTAATAAAAATTCACCTTTCACAGATGACTGGGCTAGAGACTCTGGCTTTTAAAAACACGTCTTGAGGAAATCACACTCCATTCTTTATTTAGTCTTTTTGGACAACATTGACGTTTCTCACTTGAATTTCCTAGTAGAACTAGCACCTGGTGGTGGGTCAGGAATGCTCCTCTCTAATCAGGGCTCCCAGGGGCCCCCCAGAGCCAGGAATGGAATCCCCTGGGGTGGGTCCTAGTCTCTGGGTGGTGGCTTAACAGGGATTAATTGAATTTGATAGATTTCTTAGGCTTCTAGAGCTGCCATAACAAAATACCAAAAAGTAAGTGGCTTATAAGAACAGAAATTTGTTGTCTCACTGTTCTGGAGGTTAGAATTCCTAATTCAGGGTGTTGGCAGGGCCATGCGCTCTCTCTGTCTGATCTAGGAGATCTTCCCTAGTCTCTTTCGGTTTCTGGTAGCCCTGGGTGTTCCTTGGCGTTCCTTGGCTTGTAGACAGATCCTCACATGGCATCTTCCCTCTGTGTCTCGTCTTCTCTTTATAAGGACACTAGTCACATAGGGTTAGGACCCATTCTACTCCCATATGCCTCATGGTAACTGATAACATCTTCGAAGAAAGACCTTATTTCCCAAAACAAGGTCACATTCACAGGTATGGCAGTTAGGACTTCAACCTCTCTTTTGGGAGGACACAATTCAGTCCAGAACAGAGTGATGTTTGACCATTCAACAGTCCACTTTTAGGGCTGTCAGGTTTGTGACAATATCAGTCCTACCTCAGACGAATTCAAGTGCCTGCTTCATCCCTGGCCCTTGAGTTTAAAATGTGCTTCACTTCAAACTCTGCCTACCCCCTGCCAATCCGGCTGTGGTCTTGGCAAGTCACCCCAGCCCATGGTTCCTGGGATCTACCTTCCTGGGGTCAGCCTGTGAAAGATTTTCATTTGGGCAGCACATCACTTCTTACCAATTTATGTATTCGTAAGGGCACCAGCAGCTAAAATCCCCAAATCTCTGTGGCTTAGCCCTGTACTCAGTAGAGCTTTTTTACATATCCTCTTGGCTCACCTGAGAAACAGAACACGCCAGAACATAGGAGAGGGCCTTGAAGGTGAGCAAGGATCATGCTCCCTTATCCTTAGGAAGCGCATACACCTGGGCTGTGAGCCAAGCATGAGAACTGAGCAGACATAGGCCCTCCCTCCAGACCCCTGTGGAGGTACAGTTTAAGCCAAGGAAGGAGGACTCAGGACGTGCGTGTATGGGTGTTTTTTTTTCCCCATGAGAATTTTGGTGCTTCATCAATCCAAGTTTTAAGAACATTGAATGGTCAGACATGCTTAACTGATATTTTAAGAAATTATGACGGAACAGTGGGGGCATCTCTCTGACTAGAGAGTTATAGATATTTCATACCACATGGTTTTGAATAAGTAATATTTGGCATGACAAGGATTTTGGTATACCATTTTCAAGTACGTTTGAAGTTGTTAAGAATTCCTTTGTCATTGTCTACGTGTAAATCCCTTAGCTAGTCAAAGCAGTTTCAGAGATTGGGCCAAATCTGAGGATTTTGGTTTCCTTTCGTGTTATGAAAGTTTGGTTTTTTGTTTTTCTCATAAAATAGTATTTTATTGTGTGTTCAGTGAAGGTTTACACAGCAGTTTAGGTTTCCATTCAACAATTTCTACACAAATTGTTCAGTGACATTGGTTACATTCTTCACAATGCATGAACCTTTTCATTATTTCCATTCTGGTTGTGCTGTTTCCATTCATCTAGTCTGAAAGTTATTTTCATGTCTTGTATGAGGGAGACACAAAGCAAGTAGAAGCAACGTAGCGTGCCCTTTGGTGTTCAGGGCCTTTTTGTTCTCTGCCTGCCTGCTTTTTCAGAGAGACAGGCCAATGGGGAGACTGCCCTTTGAGGTCACAGATGCTGTGGGCAAGGGCAGCGCAGTCCAAAGGCCGTGCTCCTGTGATGGTTGTGACTGGTGGAGGGACTCAGTAAGTGTCCCTTGTGGCCACTCAGGCTGTGCTCGTGCTGCCCAGTCTCTCCACGCTGGGTCCAGGGGTCCAGAGCCCCCACTGCTGACTATCGGGGCTACCCTGGCTAGGTGCGTGGCAACTAGCAGCGACTTTTAACTGCACCTCCCTTAGCACAACCAGGAGTTGAGAGGGGCTGGCTTCTTCTCGGTCTTTTCCACTTCAGAGTAAAATTGGGAACTAGGGCAAGCAGAGGGGCCGGAGGAAACCAGGAGATCAGAGTCCTGGGCTCCTTCTTCAGAGCCCCACTTCTCCTCCCGTAGCTTGTCATTGTTGTTGGCTGCCGTTGAATTGGCCTCCAACTCATGGCGACCCCATACACAAGAAAACAAAACGCTACCCAGTCCTGTGCCGTCCCCATGATCAGTTGCAGATCAGACTGTTGTGATCCCCATAGGATTTTCATTGGCTGATTTTCAGAAATAGATCACCAGGCCTTTCTTCCTAGTCTGTCTTAGTCTGGAAGCTCTGCTGAAACCTGTTCAGCATCACAGCAACATGCAAGCCTCCACTGGCAGATAGGTGGTGGCTGTACATGAGTTGCACTGGCCGGGAATTAAACCTGGGTCTCCCGCATGGAAGGTGAGAATTCTTCCCCTGAACCACCACTGCCCTCCCTTTTGGAAGAAAGTGCTGGTAATCTACTTCTGAAAACACTATGGAGCACGGTTCTACTTTGACACACATGGGGTCACCATGAGTCGGAATTGATTCGATAGCAACTGGCTTATAGCTTTCCTGGCTGTGCTAAAGTATCCTGAGACCCAAGGTAGCCTGGGTAATCCTGGCTGGGTCTGGACATACCCAGGTCTTGGGAGGCCCACACTAAAGCCACAGGCCATCACATTGACTGCAGTCAGGGGACATCTGGGAACCACCCCCAGGAGTTTGAGGGCTGTCTGCATACCCGCTTGGTCATCTGCTGGTTTTAAGACTGTGTCCTTACACACCAGCTCCCCGAGAGCCCAGGCACAAGGAGCATTTGGCTGGTATCCAGAAGGGTGGGCGGGTGGTCACTTCCCCAGAATATGGCTTCTGGGGCGGGGTTTCTCCACCTGACCCTGACCGTCAGCTCCCCACCCCACCACAGCCTGCTGCCTTCTCAACGCCCTGGGCACAGGACCTGGCAGAGCCCAGGGCGGGAACGAGGCCCCTTCCAGGGCAACCTTTGACTGTGAGGCCAGAAGAGAGGCAGAGTGAGCAGACCAGCTGGCCCACCCGAAGTCCTGGTGGTCTGGGGCTGGCCGGCAGATACAAATAAGATATTGCTATTTGAAGTTGGAGCCACCTGATGGCTTCTGGCTGCAGTCAAGGACCCTTCTTGGTCGTTAGCATCTCGAGATGCTCAAGTGCTGTTGAACACCTTCTCTCTGAGGAGCCTGTCGTTGAACACACGGCACTTCACCTCCCGAGTCTCATGTCACTAAACTGCAAGGCTCGAGAACAAATAGTGTCTCTGAGTTTGGAATTAAATATTTAAGGGCCCAGCTCCCCTGAGTTCAGATTTTTCTGCTTTGTGCTCAAGACACAGCTTGCAGTTCCTTGGGAGGACCACTGGACAAAGGCTTGGGGGTCACATTCACCCTGAGGAGGCCTCCCTCAGCACCGACCTCTGCTTCAGGGCTCTCCTCCATCCTGCCAGCTTTTTGCTGCTCAAAAACACTCCTTTGTGCGCAGGCATTCTGCCCAGGGTCAAACACAGAAAGTGCCTTTCTTCACCTTCAGTGTCCCCATCAGTCAGTCAGTGGCCCGGTGGGCTGGCTTGCTCAACAGCGGAGTCTTGCAGGGGCAGGAATGGGCTGCTCTCCTGAGCACTGGCAGTCCCGGGCAGGAAATAGACGAGACTCATCCCTTACTGAAGGCAGGTCAACCAGTACCTGCTTGGGGGTGCCACCGTGGTTCTGCCCACACCTGGTGAAATAAGTCAGTGTCCAGGTATAATATCCACCTTCTGGAGGCAGGGTGGGCTGCCTGCCTTCCTTTCTTCCTTCCCTTTCTCCCTTCTTCCCTTCCTTCCTCCCTCCTTCCTTCCAAGTACAGCCTGTTACAGAAATTTCAGCGGCGACATTGAGTTTGACACTGTAGCAGTAAAGCAGTGTGGATGGGAGAAGAAAAGGGGGATGGCCTGGTGGGCGGGAAGGCCTGAACTCAGGGCGCTGGGCCTTTCTAAGCCCAGTCTGGAACTGAGGGCTGGCAAGAGTTCCAGGGAAGGTCCAGAGAAGCTGAATCCACGACATCTCTGTCAGCTTCTGAGTCCCCCCTCACCGAAAGGGCAGCTTCAGATTTGCAGTTGATGAGGATGTAAGTGATCAGTCTCCTCTTTTCTGAGTTCCCTAGTGCTGCTATAACAGCAATGCCACAAGTGGGTGACTTTAAAGAATAGACATTTATTTTCTCACCGTTCTGGAGACTACAAGTCTGGATCAGGGTCTCAGCCTTCCTTGTCAGTAGCCCTGGGTATTCCTTGTTTCCTTGGCAATCTTCACATGGCATCTGTCTTCCCCCCACGTGTGTGTCTCTCTGTGTCTATGCTCCTCTTTATATAACTCAGAAGTGATTAGGTTTAGGATCCACCCTACATTGGTATGATCTCAACTGATTGATTATGTTACATTAGATTGTGTTGTGGAAGGTAATTACATTTTTTTTTTTTTTTACATTAGCTCACACCCACAGGTACGGGAGTTAGGATTCGAACACATGTTTTAGGGGGACACAATTCAATCCATAACACCTCTCCTGGAATTCTTGCAAGAGATTGCCATTGGCTCAATCTTACCCTTCATGAGCTATAGCATAGGTAAAGACCACAGTTATACTTAGAGAAATTGTATCTCCATTGACGGTAGTCGGGCACTGTCCATGACACACAGTTTTGGCCTTATCCAGGTGTCTCACTGTGGGGATCAACACATACCATGGCCTAACTTGCCTTCTTTGCCATTCCAGAGCCGAACACTGTCAGTTACAGCCAGTCCAGCTTGATCCACCTTGTGGGGCCTTCTGACTGCACCCTGCATGGCTTCGTGCACGGAGGTAAGACCCAAGTGGCTCCTGCTGTTCTCTTCTCGCTCACTGCTTTCTCGTTAGTTCCCTCGGGAAGCCATGGGGCCGTCTGACCCAGTTTAGGCGCTTGTGTTTAATGAAGTATAAATTTAAACTTTTAAGAGGTTGCATAATAAATTAGTGCAATACTGTCAGTATCCATTTTTAAAATTGGAAAAGAAAGTCAGATGGATGAATATATCCTAATGGAGGGTCACACGCAACCCTTGGGCCATGCATGCAAGATGTTTCGTGGCTGTCCGTGGGCCAGGGCAGGGCCCTGAGGGGGACACTGATGTACCCAGGGAGCAATGTTTCAACCCACTAACAGGGAGTGGCTAATTACAAATGATGTTTGCATTCATGTGTCCCTTTGGTCAGACTCCTTCCTCCCCAGTCAACACAGGAGTTGAAGTCAGCCTTCCCTAGAGTTTGGGAAACAGCTGGAACACAGGAGACGTTAGGAGCTCCTGGTTCATGGAGGAATATTTTACTTTAATAGTGGGGTCATTATTTTTTGTGGTTTAGGACAAATACAAGTAGGATATCAAACTCATAATTTTGGGATATTATTATTTCAGATGAGACTAAAGTAAAGCAAACTTTAAAAAACAAGTCAATTTAAAGAAAAACATTAGGGAAAAAGCAGCTAAGTGGTCCAGGCAATGGCAGAACTTGTGAAGGTGGTGTGTGGATGATGGGGGCCCCACTGCTCTGAGGTTACTAGGCTACACATCATTCCCCAGGCATGACAGGCACTTTCACAATGCCATTCATTTGTATTCTCATTTCCAATTGCCTGGGATACCAAGTTATCCTTTCTTCTCTACTCAGAAAACTCCTATTCATCCATTAAAACCCAGCCCAAATGGCACTACTGTATTTTTATGCAAATAACACGCACCGTCTACATTTGTTTGCCAACCTTGCCCCCCCCCCTGCCGTGAGGTACTTTCATAAGCGCCGCTATGCCAATTTTTTTTTTTTTTACATGTTGCCGTAAAAAAAATTAGCATAGCATGCTTAAGAAATTACGTCCGGGGGGAGGGTGAGGTTGGCCAACAAACGTAGAAGGAGAGTGGTAAATTTGCATAAAAGATGGCACTCTGTGCAGGTTTCCGTTGGTATTTCTACCAAGGAATGCCTCAGGAACAGGGACTGAGTCATTTTCTTTGTATTGGCTCCAGGGCCCCACACAGAGTCAAAGAGACACTTTGTAGATACTTACTCCCTGAATGAGAGTTGCAGATTCCTTTCCATTTGAGAAGCAGCTTGAGATAAAGGGCATGTCAGAATCAGAGATACATTTTTAAAGTGTTTTTTTTTTTTATTTTTTAAACTAATCCCCTTTTGTGTATTTTTTTTTTCTCTTTCAATTTCGTGATTGTTTTCCTCTTTGAACTGAATACTGGCTGTACTACTGCTAAATCTGATTAACTTGGGTCCTACCCAGGGAAAGGTTTACTTGGTAACAAGCAGGGCTTCTGGGCCCACTAATATTGTGACAACCAAGTGTCTTTCTACCCTGAGAACAGTATGGCCTATGCAGCTGTGGGCTTTGTAAGCTTTTCCTGTTTCGCCTTCCACACCGCTCCCTCACCCCCGTCACACCTCAGGTGGACAGCAGCCTCCGGGAAGACGGGGGCAGCCCCATCTTCTGAGCGCCCAGCCACCCGGAACATGGCTTCTGGAACTGCTGAAAATTCTTTCAGCAGCGCAGAGCTCCATTTGACCTGCAGTTGGTGAAGTTCAGTGCTAGAATTTTTCTTTATTTTGTCTGGATGGTAGAAAATTTTCACTAGACGTGGCATTTTCATCATCACTGTGTCCCTGGTGGAAAGTCCACGTTCCCAAAACCAGTCTTCTTTCTTCAAGTGCTGAAAGTTATCTGTGAAAGGCAAGGCGTGAGGGAGGTGTTTGAAAATCCCCATAGGCATCAGTAGCGGTTCATATCGTCTGTTTACAGAGAACGAGCTACTCTTTGATACAGGCACATTTTCTAATGTGTGCTAAAGAAGTGTTTGCAGTGGCTTTACAATACTTTACACCTACTTTAGTAGTGGTTTTGTGCCCATAATTTATGAAAACATGTCTAATAATTTTACCAAAACTAATTACCCCTCATAGTGCCTCATAACTCACAGGGAGAAATGAATAAAATAAACACCATGTTGAAAACAACTGCAGACTGTTATTTTATTGTATTTTCCTATTGTCAACAAGAATGGTATCTAAAATAATTTGAATCAAAGTCTTCACTAAACTGTAATTCAGTAGATGCCAATCACAGAAGAAAAATGGTGAACCGAAATGAATGTTGATTTGGCCTTTATTCAGTCGCTCTATTCTGTGTATGTGTCTTTAGAAAAATATCTCCCCCCTCCCCCAATTTTCTGTGACTTTCACACATTGGTAGCCTTAATCTTGAGGACTATGTCCTACTCCACCACTTTTTTTTTTTTTTTTTTGGTAATGATAAACTCCTCAAAGATATATTGGAAAGTTGACCCTTCTGGGTTGGAAATCACAGGTAGAATCCAGGGGCTCCAATCAGAGTGGGCTTATTTCTCCTTTCTTAGGTGCATGGACAGAATCCCCTATAACTGATTGGAGGAATAGAAAAGAACTGAGGATGAACCCCAGGATGCAAACGACCCTCATTTTAATGTGGTAGAATGGAAGACAGGGTGTAGCTCTGTAGTTCCAAATGTAAGAGTAGGCCCCAAAGCCGAAAATAAGGTCAGACCTGGAGAAGTGCTGGTTTCTGCCGCCCCTGAGTTCCACGTGAATCACTACATGCTCTCCCCCGGAACTCCCGCTTTTTCTTTTATTGTTTATTTTCGTTGTTGTTGAAAATATACACAGCAGAACATACGCCAATTCAATAATTTCTATATGTACAATTCGGTTGAATTTTAACTATATCGTGAAACATACAACTGTGTAATAATATGGCAAAATCTGGGGCTTTGGTTCTGTCTGTTCATTTGATTCATCATCTTAAAGGCCTTGCCCTGTCCTTTCTGTTGGTCACCTGAAGATGTTCTTTGTCTGCTCCAGTTTCTTATCCTCTGGGATTCTCTTTGGCAGAGAACACGTGGCTCTCCTACCACTGTTCCCCTGTGGGCGCCACAGCCTGAGAGCAGGAGTCGCTGCCCATGCCCAGCCAAGCGGTGAATAGGAAGCATGTGCTCCCCAAATCTGAGGCTCCTATGGCCAGACCCTGGGTGAGGGGGGCTTCTTGGGGATGAGTCCAGGGCCTCAGCCAGGGCAGACCCCAGAAGATTCTTCAGTGTGAATTCATCCCATTTGAACTTACAGAAGCCTTGGATTTTTCTTTGACATTTTATTTTTTATTTTAGAATCAGTTATTTTAAATCAAAGCATTATGTGGAAATGGTCCATAATGGCTTTTGACAAAACTCAGCTAATTCTTGCCCTCCCTTCACTGCTGCATCCTGCTTCTCAGTGGGAACCAATTTCAGTAACTTTAGCTGCTTCTTCTGGTATGTGACTTGATTTTCCTAAATAGTAGGCTTTTATTGCTGTCTCCTGATATGTCAGTTTCAGACATATGACTGTGTAAATACCATTCACTACTGAGCCAATTAGAGTACTATGATCACATTTCTTGTGTTAACTTTGTTCCTACAGAAGGTAAATACTGCCTGATTTTCCATTTCCTTTAACATCCAACTAATGATCTACACACGCTCCAACAGTTCTATAAAATGCTTCTTAATAGAGTTTTAGCTGCCGGATAATTTTTCAGTACCATTTTCTCCTGGAGATATCTACCCTCCACCCTCCTCCTCCAAACTGGACTACTTGCTCCCAGTGCCTGCTCTAAACTGCTGTTCTGGAACATCCCTTTGCCTCTCATCTGGGTTGGGTGTCTTGTGTCATGGATCTTTGATTTTTCCCTTTGCTAACTTTGATGGAATACACCCTCCAGTGGCTCCTCACCAAAAAAGAAAGAAAAACAGTTGCTGTCACATTAACTCTGACTCATGGCGACCCCATGTGTGTCAGAGTAAAACTGTGCTCTATAGGGGCTGATTTTTTTGAAGAAAGCCAGGCCTTTCTTTCGAGGCACCTCTGGGAGTACTTGAACCTCCAACTTTTTGGTTAGCAACCAAGCATGTTAGACATTTGCACCACCCAGGAACTCTGCTTCCTATGAACGAAAAAACCTAAACCCATTGTCATCAAATTGATTCCAACTCATGGTAACCCTATGTGTTACAGAGTAGAACTTCTCCATAGGGTTTTCTTGGCTGTAATATTTACAGAGGTCCCTGGGTGGCACAAACCATTTGTGTTTGAGACTGATATTCGATTCCCTGTTGGAGAGAACCTTAGATTTTTTTGAGCCCTAGTCGCACAGTGGTTAAAAGCTGTGGCTGTAAACCAAAAGGTCGGCAGTTAAAAACCATCAACCACTTCTCGGAGACCCTTTGGGGCAGTTCTGCTTTGTTCTGTGAGGTCGCTATGAGTCAGTATCAACTCGACCGCAGTGAGTACTAACCTAAAGGTAGGTGATTTGAACCCACCCAGCAGCGCTGCGGAAGTAAGGCCTAGTGATATCTGCTTCTGTAAAGATTACAGCCGAGGAAACCCAGTAGAGCAGTTCTACTCTATAACACATGGGGTTCCCATGAGTCAGGATGGCAGTGGGTTTGGTTTTTGGCATCTTTATGGAAGCAGATCCCAAGGCCTTTCTTCTGTGGTGCTACTGGGTGGGTTCAAACCACTAACCTTTAGGTTAGTAGTCAAGTGCAAACAATTTGCACCACCCAGGGACCTCCGCTTCCCATGAAAGGTGCTGTGTTAACAAAGATGAAGGTTCAACTGCCATAGCAAAGACCCCAAACAGCAGTGGCTTCCATAAGAGAGACAATTATTTTTTCTTATGCAACAACACAGCTGTAAGAGACCTGGGGCTGATATGGCAGATCCATGGTTTTGGAGACCCAGGCTCCTGCCTTGTT